CTGTATAGTAGCTTTACAATAAAAAAAGAAAAAAAAAATAAAAATAAAAATAAAAGAGAGGAATGAAAAAAAAAAAAAAAGATAAGTTTTTTATTGTGAAAATGCTGTACAGAGGGGTTACAGTTACATGAGCAAGGTAATGAGTACATTTCTTATCAAGCATTGTTGCCTCCTCCTTTGTTTTTCCCCCTACCATCCCTTTTTATTCTTTTAAATTTATTTATTTTTAGTATAAAGATGATGTCCAGAGGGGTTACAGTTAAATAAGTCAATTAAAGAGTATATTTCCTTTTGGATAATGTCACCCCTTCCCTACCTCTCTTCTAGTTTTTCCCTCCCATCCCCACCCAAAAGTTGTATCGTTGATTTCCAACATAGTGTCTAGTGAGTATCACTGTTTCATTTGCTCACCCTTTTTCCCATCATTTCTGTGCCTCACTTACCCTCCAAAAATCTACAAGTAAACCCAATCGATGGTAAAAGAAAAAAATAAGCTGGGCCATGATCAATTATTCAAGTCTCTAGACATTCATGCAGGGTGAGGCTAGGGTCATATAGGTGCAATAGCTATGTTGTATATCAAATAATATTTATCTACATGAACTCCTGGAAATGGAAACACGAGGACTTTTTCTCTTTGTTGCTGTGTTGTTTTACTTCCTTTGTTTTCTTGGTTGATTCAGCACCTGCTGGGCCTTGCTCCTCTGAGGAGACGGTTTCTAGCATCTGCTGTGAAGATGACCTGGATCTGATCCTAGTTCCTGGTCCTGACCATATCTGGGATTTGGCTCTCTCGTGTGAAAAGGGGGTTAAGGTTGGTGGTGGATGATCCTATGTGTGCTGAGGATCACAGGGTCTGGAGGTAAGAAGTCCCTAGGCCTGACAGAAAAATTCAAGGGAGCAACTCTGCTGCCTCACCCGAGTCTCCATGTCATCCACAGGAGAACTGAGCCTGGGTGGATGACAAAGCTCTGCTCAGAGCCTCAGCACCTCAGTACCTAATTCAGGGTGCGGACACAGAGCCAGGGCAGAGGCCCAACCTCACAGCCCCTTCCATCTGAGGGCAGGCACTGAGCAGGGAACCTGAGCCCTCAGGAGTCTCCTCAGTGCTGCTTGTGAAGAAGACATCAGGAAATCATGGAGGTGAGGATGAGCAGAACCTCCGCCTGGGCCACTTGCTGCTTCCCATGAATTTCTTGTATAGCCTGGCACACAGTGAGTCCTTAGGGCTGAGGCCTGAAAGACGCCTTGGCCACCAAGCAGAAGTGCTTCCTGGAGGCAGCAGGCCTCATCTGACCTATGATGGGAAAGTCACTCACACTGTCTCATCTTTCTTCTTTGGAGCTGGTACTCAGATGCTAAAGCCTTGAGCACAAAAGTTCAGGAACAACTCACAGGTCCTGAGTTCAAGCCTAGGACCAGTACAAAGAAAAAGCAACAACAACAACAAAATCCAAACCAGTACTTCATCTCAGTTTATACAATTTCATGTTCCAGACCACGTGAAGTGTGAAAGCCAAAATGATTCTCTGGGCATTATGTGCCTGTGCCCCATCAGGAAGCCCCTCTCCCAGGCAGCCAGAACCTTTACCCGGCACCTGCTCTAAATTTTACTCAGATTTTCCCCTCAGTGATGACCACCCAGATACTTCTGGTTTTGTGCATTTCTCACGTGGATTCTCTGAGCCCTTTACCCACCTGTGAATTCTTCTTTACTACACTTATCCTTATTTTGTGGTGGTGGTGGGTACTGATTCCTGTCATTTGCCCTAGTAGAGGCTAGTACAATGACTCTGCCTCTTTTACTCACCAATGCATCCATGTTCCCATAAGAGTTACCAGCATGTAGTAGATATCTAGTATTCATGTGTATAGATTGCTCACTGTGAGCTCTCCATGGGCCACTGGAGATATTTTCTGTGGAAATGACCCAGTAACAAAGTGACTTTCCTATGTAAATAGTTTGGCCAAAACCAATGGTTATTTGCATATCCGGAAGCAGAAAGGACCTGCTAAGAACACCACAAACTCACTTCCCCCTCCACATAATTGACAGAGACTGTTGAAAGATCATGTGTCATATCTGGGCACATTGTCTAACAAACTAATGCTTAAAACCATTCCCACTGGGTGTGGTTGTACAGGCCTGTAATCCCAGCTGCTGGAGATGCAGAGGGAGGATTTCAGTCCAAGGCTAACCAGGGAGAAAGTATAGGATGCCACTGGAAAAACAAACTTTAGAACAAAGTCCTAAGGACATGGCTCAAATGATAGCATACTTGCCTCAAAAGCATGAAGCTCTGAGTTCAGTATCAAAAGGAAAAAAATGTCAATAAACACTCATGAGGTCCTCAGATTAGGATAGTTCATCGAGTGGCCTTGGAGCATTTTGGGTTCCTGTCTCCTTTTTGGTAAAGTAGAGTGACAGGGACATATTAACCACATGAGGTGGAGAGTCATACACCATTTCTGACAGTGTCTGACATGTGGAGAGGGGAGTTATCACTCCAGATTGCCCACAAAAAGTTTTCAGTTATCTTAGATGATGTAGATGGGTATGAAGTTTTCAGTTATCTTAGATGATATAGATGGGTATGTGTAAATAGACACACATATAGATAACAAACATGGATGTATTATAGATTGTGTTAGCCAACTTCCCATTAGTGTGACTGTAAATGCCTGAGACAAATCAACCTATCAAGTAAAAAGGGTTGCCTTGGCTTGCAGCTTCAGAGGAGTCAGTGAAGGTTAAGTTGTCCCTGTTGCTCTGGGGTCTATGGGGAGTCAGCACCTCACGGTGAGGAGGATGAGGGGATCCAAAGCCTGTTCACCTCAATGCTGGAGCATGAGACAGAAAGGGAAGAGGCCAGGGTCCCTCCTCCTTCAAGGATGTGTCCCCACCATGATCTGAGAACTCCCACTGGCTTCAACTCTCAAAGGTCCACAGCCTTCCAGTGGGCCATTCTGGAGACCAAGCTTTTAACACACAGGAGCTGAGAGATTTCAGATCCAAAGGACGGCATAGATGTAGGTACCGCAGCCAGGTGTCTCTGTGTCTTTCATCTGCTCATTTCCGCCTCACCTCTACCCTGGTAAAAGACTAACATTAGTGTACACACACACACACACACACACACACACACACACACACACACACACAAGTCATAAATGTAGCAGGGTAATCTGCCATGCTAGTATATAAGGTTTTTTGGAGGCCTAATGAAGCTACATATTGAAAGTTGAATAAAATGCAGGTAAAGAACACATCACACATTACATGGGAACAACACTGGGTTTTAACTTTGTTTTTTTTTTCTGAGTTGTGCAACAGGCAGTGGTCACAGTGCAGGTTGCATTCTTGCCTTCCTTCCTGCAATCAACCTGCACTGAAAGGCTGAGTAACATAACACGGCAAGAAGAAAGAAATCTGGATATCTAGGGGGCTGTGGGTATCACCAGTGGTAGGGTATGGCTTAACATGAATGGGGCCATTTTGCTCAATATCCAGCTGAGAGAGAGAGAGAGAGAGACAGACAGACAGACAGAGACAGAGAGAGGGGGATTGAGACAAAGACAGAAACAGAGACAGAGGCATGAACAGAGATAGAAAGACAGAGAAAGAATGAGGAAAAAGGAGAAAAAAATGAAGGACAAAGGAAAGAAGGAAGGATAAAATGAGGAAGGAAAGAAGGAAGGAGGGGACAAAAGAAATAAACCTATACTTACAAAACTGAGTTTCAATCTCAGCATCTCCACTGACCAGGGGAGGTGACAGTGGACAAGTTCCACTCTCGGTTTCAGTTTCCCCATTTGCAATTGGGATACTAGGAGGATCTATCACAGGAACGAGGCAGGCTTTCAGCAAATGAATAAACAAAGTTCTGACAGCCCTGCCTGCCCCTCAGATGGGCTCAGCCAGTCACCTCTCACTGCTCATTTGGGTGCAGTGTATATGTAGTAGAAATACTTGTAAAAGTTGGCCCCCAGCCCTTTAGGAAGTGTGGGATCATATAACCACAGGCCCGACCTGTGGAGCCAGAAAGGCTGTTATGCCCAGGACTTGGTCCTTGGGTCAGCTTTATGGACAAAAGGGGGACAAAGGCAAAACAGCCTGTTGGGGGAGGTGTGAGCAGGGAAGGGTGTCCTGGCCTGTGCTAAGACAGGCCTCCATCTTGCTGTCCTAAAAGAGGGAAAAAAAAGTTCCCAAGAGAAAAGCCAGATGAGCAGGGCTGTCTGTGGGGACCTGTTACCTGCTGACTTGTGAGTCCTGTGAGCCCCTTTACCTCAATGAGACTTTATTTGGAGACAAGGTCTGAGCTGTTACTCAGATGCTAATTTAACTAACCTAATTTAAATTAGGTTGTCGGGGGAGGGCCATCCAAAAGGACTGGTGCTGTTAGAAGAAGACACACAGAAACGCACAGAAGACAGACCACGTGCAAAGACAGGGAGAAGATGCCCAGGGCAAGGCAAGAAGAGAAGCTAACCCTGCCTACACATTGATCTTGGACCTCCAGCCAAGGAGCTACATATCTATTTCTTTTCTCACTGAGCACACTGGGCATTGTTATAGTCAGGCCTGACAAATGAGTTCATGTCTTCAGAGGATGAGCAGAAAATTCTAGCCTTAGAGCTAGACAGACTCAAGCAGCTGCCCCTAAGCTTTCTCTGTGGCCTTGGGCAGGTTGCTTCATCGAGAGATGAGGAATGGTAAATATAATAAGTATTATTATATATTATGCATAATATAATAATCCTATTGAAAAGCAGGTTATCATCTAAAATATTATACAGGCATGACTATGGTTGGAAGCACTCTGACTGGATGCCTCTGGTCACCTGCTGTAGGTGATGACACCACAGACAGGGCTCAAGTGTCTAGCTCTATAGGCTCTCAGTGCCCTGTCTTTGTCTCCTGTGGCTGTGCCTGGGTTTATCTGGAAGTCCACAGGCAGGGCTGGATTAGGAACTGGGAATATGCTCAGGGCCATGCTCACCTGTGAATCCCAGTAGGAGGATCAGTAGTAGGCCAGGAGAAGGAGACTGGGGCCAAGAATCAGGAATGAGCATCATGGAGACCTCAGCAGTCTGCTGTGTCCTGCTGTCAGTGTTGGGGAGAATCCAGACTCTGCTGTGTGCAAAGATGAGGCACCCTGCCTCTCTCCATGAAAGAGGAAGTGGTTTGTCATAGAGTCTGTATTGGTATTGGGAAATAGAAATCCACTAACACAGGAAGCTACACAAGGAGGAGTTACCCAGGGTACAGTTCAGAATATTCACCTCATGGAAAGAATGCTTATTGTTCACTGGGGCTTGAGCTCCATCCACTAAGACCTGAACCCCATCTTGAGGTTTTTGAGCTTTTGCTTGGCTACGAAGAATTTGCCCTTAAGTCTTAAGCCTCAGATATGGTTGGTTGGCTTGTGGTTTTGTCTTGTACCTGCTTCATGAAGAGCCACTCATCTGGAGGTAGAAGGAACATTCCCCAGCCCCATTCAGTGTTGGAGCAGAAGTCACATGCTCCTGAAGTGCCACACTGCTGTAACCCCTCTGCTGAGATAACTGGTTCACATAACCCAAAGTTGGTGTGATGTGGACCAAAGGGATCTGCGTCACTGTATTCAACAAAAGGAACCATTTGCTGATTCATTCCAGGGGAGAAAGTGGGTTTAGATGGATAGCTGCTTGGTCGGGCAAGCTGGGGATTAGGGGTTAATATAAGCGGCTAGGGTTATGCATATTGTAGTCCTGGGCAGGCACATCACCTCACAGACTCTGTGTTCTCTTTTCTTTCTTTCCTTCCTTCCTTCCTTCCTTCCTTCCTTCCTTCCTTCCTTCCTTCCTTCCTCTTTCTCTTTTTCTCTTCTTCTTTCTTTTTTCTTTCTCTTGTTTCTTTGGTCCAAGACCAGATTCAAATTCAGTATCTGATGCATTAGCTCACTGGCAGAGCGTGACCAACTGAGCTAACCTCCAACCACAGACTCTGTATTTTCTATATAGAAAGCACCAAGGCCATTTCCCATTGCGCCAGATGGAGCTGAGGAGGAAGGCAGGGTGAGTGACTGGGGTGAGGACCTGACCAGGAGCTGGGCAGGTCACCCTTGACTTCATCTTGTCATCTTCAACCTGGGATAAGAAGTCTTTTTCTGATTGTTTGGGTACTTTTTAGCCCTGAAGTGTGGTAGCAGATATTAAAGGCAATCTTGTCTGGAATATTCTTGAGGAAAACAAAAACAAAAATAACCATAGGGCATTATTGGTACTCTTGGTACCAGATGGAGACAGGAAGATCAAATACAACTTTTCAAGGATCCCCTGTCTCAAAGGACCAGTTGCTCACCAATGGCCTGAATTCACCTCTCTGAATTCCTAAACTCAATTTGTGTGCCATCCCTGCCGTCTCCACCTTCTGAGATCAGTTGTCCCCTCTGGGACTCCCAAGTTCCTTATGGTACATGGAAGGGCCAGCTGCTTCACCTGAGGCCTCATCTGCCTCCTGGTTTACATCTGGCCACATCATGTAACTTGCATATGTGAAGGTTAAGGGATGGATGTCTGAGGCATGCACTTGTTTCTACACCCTGCTTTGCTGGTGTTCAGGGTTGGGGGAGGCAGATTGCAGGAAGGGGAGATGCATCATCCCTCTGTGTGGTATGAACTTCATGGAACTCTCCAGGCCTGCCCTGCTCCTCCTGGAAACTTTCCCACGTCCTGTCCCTGCTTGGCTGTATTCATCAGCTCTGTCTGGGACATGTTCCCTCAGTTGGGGACTTCTAGACTCCTACATGTTCAACACAAGCGAGTATTTTATCAGAGCTTAACCTGGTGGGGTCCACCAGAGATGCATTTACCTAGAGAAATACCCAACTCCAACTATCTTTGGTCTTCCTTGTGGAGAAAGAGAGTGTGCAGCTCCAACACTCTCCAACTGTTCTGTTCCTCTAAAGGGAAGAATCCTCATGGGGGCTGGGCATTAGTGGATCACACTGTGATCCTAGCTACTCAAGAAACTGAGATCTGAAGATCGCAGTTTAAAGTCAGTCCAGGCAAGAAAGTCTGTGAGACTTTTTTTTTTGTCAATCATGGGGCTTGAACTCAGGGCCTGGGTGCTGTCCCGGAGCTCTTTTGCTCAGTGCTAGTGCCCTACCACTTTAAGCCACAGCCCCATTTCCAATTTTGTAGTGATTAATTGGAGAAAAGAGTCTCATGAACTTTCCTGCCAGGGCTGGCTTGAAGCATAATTCTTGGATTTTAGCCTCCTGACTAGGTTTACCGGCATGAGCCATTGGCTCCTACCTTGTAAGACTCTTATTTTCAATTAACTATCAAAAAGCTGGAAGTGTAGCTATGACTAAGGTAGTAGAGCATTAGCCTTGAGCAAAAAGCTCAGGAACATCAGTCAGGCCCTGAGTTCAAAAGCCAGGACCGGCTCAAAAGAAAGAAAGAAGGAAAAAAGAAAACGGAACTGGAGTTGTGGCTCAAAGTCATAGAGTATTAGCCTTTGAGCAAAAGGGATAGCACCCAGGCTCTGAGTTCAAGCCCCAACATCGACAGATAATTAATTGGAGATAGAAGTCTCATGGACATTCCTGCCTGGGCCATGTTCAAACCTTGATGATCAGATCTCAGCCTCTTGAGTTGCTAGGATTATAGGGATGAGCCACCAGTTCCAGGCTCAATCTGTTTAAGTTCATAGAAAGTCATTCTTACCTACTTCATTCTATTGAATTCATCCATGTTACACTTGGCATTTGGATATAGTTTAGTGTTGAACACATGGTTTCCCTTTGGCTACTGTGTGCACCAGGAGTGCAATGGGCAGCCCAGCTCCACATGATTTCTCCTGACAGCTTTCCTTCCTCTTTGAGCACTCTAACACAGTACTGGAAGTACTTGACAAAGCAATAAGATAGGACATAAAGAAAAGAAAAGGCCTTGAAAGAAATTAAACTGTAATGCAAATGATGCATAATAGTCTTGGTAGGAAGTTCCAAAGAACTTACTCAAAAAGCTCTTGATTTCCAGGCAAATGACCAACATTACAAAAATGAAGTGCATTTGTGGATAGCATGGACAAACTTGTGAAAGCAAAAATTAAAAACTTCACACCAAAAGATATCTACTCATTACCTAACCAATAAGATGATAACCCCTCTGTACAACACTTTCATATTAACAATGAATAAATTAAAATACTTTTAAAAACCTTCACACTATTTGAATTGCTCAAAAATGAAATCTGGGTCATAAATCTGACTATATCTATATCTAGATATGTAAAACATGTGAAAACCTATGAGCATTGATGAAGAAATCAGAAATAAATAGAAGATATTTTCCTCAAAGAAAAATCAAATATAATTAATCAGTGTTCTCTACAGAAAGAGAATGAAAAGATGAATAGATGATAGATACACAGATATATAGATAGAGATAAATGGTAGGTAGAACAAGATTCATGGGTTTTACTCAAGCAATTACAGAGAATAAGATGATGTGCCATAAGCAAACTAGAGACATGAGAAAGCTGGTGGCTTTGACCTCATTGAGGTCAAAGTTCTGAGGACCTGGTGGGGGAGGGGACGAGGTGCTGGGGTAAGTCTCAAAGCCAAGGGCAGCAGAATCAAGATTCTAATGTCCAAAGTCAGGAGAACATGGTGTACCAACACGAGAAGAGAGAGCAAGTTTGTCTTTCCTCTGCTCTTTTGATCTTTAGTTCTCAGCCACTTGATGATTGCATGTCCACACTGAGTGATGGGGATTTTCCTGATTCAGTTCACTGATTCTGGTGTCTTCACAGATGAACCCAGAAATAATGCTTTACCAGCTGTGTGGGTCCCTTCATCTGGTCAAGTTGACACTGAAAATTCATCATCACAGGGACACACGAACTCTTGGATTGGAAGATGAAGCACAGTAAAACAAACAACAAAACAAGTCATATGTTTGAATATCCATAATAGGTTTATTTGGAACAGCAAAACACAAGAAATAACCAATCAAAATACATTCACTTACAAGCTAATGGTCAAGCAAATGGTCAAGCAAATTGTGCATCCATATAATGAAATACTACTTCAGCAATAAAAATTAATGAATTATTATTGATTTTTTTGTGCTGGTCCTGGGGCTTGAATTCAGAGCCTAGGTGCTATCCCTGAGCTGTTTTGGTAAAGGCTAATGTTCTACCACTTGAGCCACAGCTCCATTTCTGACTTATTTTTTGTGGTTAGGGATCAGAATCTCATTGACTTTCCTGCCTGGACTGGTTTCAAACCATGATCCTCAAATCTCAGCCTCCTGAATAGCTAGGATTACAAATAAGCACAAAGCCCCAGCTCAAAAAAAGACCAAAAAATGAAATTAAAAATAAAGTTTATTATTGTAGACAAAAAATAAGCTCTATATATCACCTACCACTCATGCACCAGAAAAAAAAATATATAGCTAAAGATAAAATAGGCAGGGCAGGGCTGGGAAGGTGGCTCAGTGGTAGAGCGCTTGCCTTGCATGCATGAGGCCCTGAGTTCGATTCCTCAGCACCACATAAGCAGGAAAAAAAGCTGGAAGTGGCGCCGTGGCTCAAGTGGTAGAGTGCTAGCCTTGAGCTGAAGAGCTGAGGGACAGCACCCAGGCCCAGAGTTCAGGCCCCACAACCGGACCCCCCCCCCGAAAAAAAAATAGGAAGGGTATAATTTGAGCAAAACCTGAAAACCTGTTTTGTGTATAACAACAACAATAACAAAAACTCAGGTGGTATGAATACTACCACCTGGAGTGCTACCTAGGAAACAAGAGGGGCTTGCCTTGTGCACCCAGGGAAGACAAACACAAAAATGTTTGTCACACAGCAGAAAGGGTCAAAAGCTATGTACAGATGACCATATAAGATGATGCTAAGTGAAATGAACCCCAAGATATGGACACAAGAGGTATTTTCTTTGTTGCTGTTGTTTTTAATGTACTATGTGATTTTTTTTGTTACTTTTTTATGTTCTTCCCCCATGGTATAACCTCTGTTGTCACTGTATTTGATTCTGGTGCCCAGCATCTTGTATATACATTGTTCTAATTTGGGAGAGGGGAGGGAAATAACAAAATGCTGAAACAAGGATACAGCTTGACCCATTGTAACAATGAGATGTACAAGACA